GTCCGCCTTCCTGCTTCTCTGATGCTGCTTGGCCTGCTGTGTTCATCCAGCTCTACACCTTGTTATCTTGCATTCTGCAGGAGTGTGCGTTTTAGTAGATTATAACCTTTTTCCTTCAGTGAGGCTTTTGCACCATCGCTGTTAAAATGCCATCCATATTGTCTACTATTTTCAGTATAAGAAAAAAAAGAATGTTTTTTTCCCATTGGCATTCTTTAGTTAAGGATGTTGATGAGTTAGAGCATCCAAAAACAATGAGATTAATGATGTCAAAAAGATTTAAAAATAACTGTACTTTTCACAAAAGGAACTGTAAATGGAAAAGTTCCTAATGGGAATTGTGTCCAGACAACCAAGCAGTAGTCAGAATGCCGGGAAGAAAATAAATCAGGAGACAGAAAAGGCAAGTTAGAAAGGAGCTTTTACAATAATCATGGGGAAGGGCTGGGCTTTAATATGCAGGTGGACTGGGAAAATCAGATTGGTAGTGGACATAAAGAAAAGGAACACTTGGAATATCTACGAGATAGATATTTTGAAGCAGCTTGTGGTACAGCCCACTAGGCAACAGGCAATTCTGTATTTGATGACATGTAATGAGGCAGGTGATTAGGGAGCTTAAGATGAAGGAACCCCTTAGAGGGCAGTGACCATAATATAATAGAATTCACCCTGCAGTTTGAGAGGGTGAAGATGGAATCAAATGTAACGGTATTACAATTGAGTAAATGTTACGACAAAGACACGAGGAAGGAGCAGGCCAGTGTTGATTAGCTTAGCAGGGAAGATGGTGAAGCAGCAATGGCAGGAGTTTCTGGGGGTTATTTGGGAGGCACAGAAACTCATCCCAAGGAACAAGAAACATATTAAGGGGAGGGCGAGGCATCCATTCCTGACAAGGGAAGCCAGGGACAGCATAAATGCAAACAAAAAAATTATGCAATGTGGTCAAGATTAGTGGGAAGTCAGAGAGTTGGGAAGCCTGTAAAAAGCAATAGACAACATCTAAAGAAAATAGTTTTTTTATGGTTGGAGAAGTATTAATGGGGAACAAAGAAATAGCAGAGGAACTGGATACTTACTTCATAGAGGGAGACACCAGCTGCCTGCCAGAACTTCAAGAGATTCGGGGCAGAGGTGAAGGTATTGCCATCACTAAGAAGAAGGTGCTGGGGAAGCTGAAAGGCTTGGAGGTGGACAAGTCACCTGGACCAGATGGACTACCTCCCAGAGTTCTGAAGGAGATAGCTGAGGAGATTGTAGAGGCTTTAGTGGTGATTTTTCAAGAATCACTGGAGTCAGGAAGTGTCCCAGAGGACTGGAAAATGACTGATGTAGCACCCTGTTAAAGAAGGGATGGAGGTAGAAGATAGGAAACGATAGGCCAGTTAGCCTGACTGCAGTCGCTGGTAAGATTTTAGAGTCAATTATTAAGGATGAGATTGCAGAGTACTTGAAAGTGCATGGTAAAATAGGGCTGAGTCAGCTCGACTTTATCAAGTGGAGGTCATGCCTGACAAATCTGTTAGAATTCTTTGAGGAAGTAACAAGTAAGTTAGACAAAGGACAGCCAGTGGGCGTGATCTATTTGGATTCCCAGAAGCCTTTGACAAGGTGACATATAGTGGGGAGGCTGCTAAATAAGATAACAGCCCATGGTGTTAGGGACAAGGTATAGGCATGAAGAGAGGATTGGCTGACAGGTAGAAAATGGGGATAAAGACATCTTTTTTGGATGGCAGCTGGCGACTTGTGGAGTTCCACGAGGGTCGGTATTGGGACCACGACTATTCACGTTATACATTAATGATCTGGACAAAAGCAGAAATGTACTGTTGAGGTTATACAAGGCTCTGGTCAGACCATATTTGGAATATTATGAGCAAGTTTGTGCCCCATATCTAAGGAAGGATGTGCTGGTAGTGAAGGAGATCCAGAGGAGGTTTACAAGGATGATCCTGGGGAAGAAGAACTTGTCATATGAGGAGCAGCTGAAGACTCTAGGTTTGTACTTGATAAAGTTTAGAAGGATGGGGGGGATCTCATTGAAACTTACGGAATAATGAGAGGGGTGGATAGAGTGAATGTGGGGAAGATATTTCCACTAATAAAGGAGACTAGGACCCAAGTGCACAGCCTCTGAGTGAAGGGACAACTATTTAGAACTAAGACGAGGAGGAATTTCTTCAGCCAGTGGGTGGTTAATCGGTGGAACTCATTGCTGCAGAGGACTCTGGAGGCTAAGTCATTGAGTGTCTTTAAGACAGAGGTAGATAGGTGTTTTGATTAGTAAGGGAATCAAGGATTACGGGGAAAAGACAGAATAATGTGGGTGAGAAACATATTAGCTATGATCAAATGACAGTACAGACTCAATAGGCCGAATGGCTTTATTCAGCTCCTATGTCTTGTGGTCTTATATAATCAAGGTTATAGTAATTCACTCTGTATTCTTCATAAATTTAAGATTTTCTGGCAATATAATGTATTCTTTTATATCTGTACTGAAGAGGTTTCTTGAATGTAGCTGTTTTTCCTTTGTTCACCATCCTGGATCAGGAAAGTGTTCAAGAGAAACAACAGGGAAAGTAGGTAGTGAGGCCTACAACCATCGCAAAACCCAATCTTGGTTCTCTTCCCTCCTCCACAAGTATGAATCACTCCTTACTGCCAAATTTAAATGCAGGTGAAGACGTAGCACCCAGTTTCTCAGCAAATATTTTTCTTGCTTATCGTTCGTTACTGCCACCTCCAAGTAGTGGTAGACTTGGTTACTGAGCCCAAATATTAACAGTAGAATGAAGAGGCATGTTCTAGGTTCCATCATATCTGCCTGATCCTTTAACTTCTGAAGGCTCAATCTGACAAGGTCACCTTTTATATTTCCTTAAATATCTTTTGGTGCTAAAAAGGTGGCCTTGTCTCTAACACTTTGTTTTATTTTTCTTGGTGACACAAAAGAGAATTAGTTGGGAATACACCACAATTACATAGTAATTCCTAACTCAGGAATATGGTTAGACCATAAGCAGAAATCCGACTTGCATCTAAAGAGCCATCTAAACAAAAAGAATATCTCAAAATGCTTCAGAGCTAATGAAATATTGCTGACTTGTAAGGCCAGATCTTCATGTAGCAATCAGGAAAATGGAATTTTCCTTACTCTGGGATCTTGCCTGTACTTTGTTAGTGCTTGCCCATTGTTTTTTCATCCTAAGAAGTAGCATGATGAATGCTTGGCTGATCTGTAAGAACAACTAATGCATCCCTTGGGGATGGCAGAGGTGGTGTTTGAACAGTTTGAAGAGGCTGTTTACTTTGTTTGATAGTTTTATGAGCTTTTAATAAGTTTCTATTTCTTTGATCTTTTTAAATATCTATTTATTTATTTGGATAACTTTAAGTGGTTATGGGACTTTCACTGCTTATGTTTAATTGACAGTTTTATGGGAATGTATGAAAGGCATTGTTTTGTAAAGGGAGCATTTTTATTTCATGAGCAGTTCAAAGGTTGCCAGTGTTATTATATGGCTCACTGTTTCTACACCAGTTTATGAATCCTCTGGAGGACCATGCATCTTGTCTGCTGCAAATGCCTGCCTGATTCCAGTAAAATTTCAGGGATGAGATGAAGGGTAGGCCTTAAACGCCTACCCCTGAAAAAGAGCCAGCAATTTTGGGAGCGCAGTTTGTGGGCTTGTTACCCACACCCTTGTAATTACTGGTGAAAATTTCTGGGGACAGAGATACAAGCAGGAAATCCAGAATCCGATCCTAACCACTATTTTCAAAGGCCTTCCTTCTCTGTTTTGACACGAGCAAAATTTTTTTTGTCAAAAAAAGGAAAGAAAGTTCTGAAAGCCTGAAGTTGCCATTGAAGTGTATGGACTGCTTTAGAAATTTACACTTGAATATAAGATAACTTGGTGTTTTTGAAAGTGTGAACAGAAATTACAACAATTGTAACTAGTTTGATGAATATATTTAGAGTAAAGTAGAGACAATTTTTTTTGTCATGTTACAGGTACTGGTCCGTTTCATTTATTCTCTAAGTAAAGGATACAGAAAAATCACTTATCACAACTGGCGTCATGGGTTCAACGTTGGGCAAACCATGTTTTCACTGCTTATGGTAGGAACTTACCTTGTTAGTTTTCCAGGTGAAATCTGTTTGAAATCATAGAATGGTTATAGCACATAAGCAGGTCTTTCAGCCTATCTGTGTCTATATTGGCTCTCTACAAAGACACAAGTAGGAATTTTAATTACCCTGCTTATTCCTACATAACCTTCAAACCTGAATTAAATTAATCGGACATTAACCCTGACATTGTCGGCGATTGGTGATTGGTGCAAAGTGAGTCTGACGTTTCGGGCAGGCTGCAAATCCCAGTTTCCTCACTTTCTGTGCAGTTAGTGGGCACCTGCTTCTTGCTAAGCAGGTTCCATACCCAGAAGCCAGGCTGATTTAACAAGTCTGGATCCCAGTCAGAACTGCAGATCTAGGAGCGAAATCAGTTCTCCTCCTGGTCCCTGAGCAATTCAGTAAACTTATCTTTATCCTGAAGCTGTCCTTGCCTCAATTAAACTGCCATTTTTCCTAAGACCTGGGACTCAGGTTTAAAGCTGAATAAATGTGTGAAACAAGGGGCTCCTAGCATCACTATATTAGTAAAATAGCCAATTTGCCTCTCAGGAGTGCATTGACTATCAATCCCATGGATTTCTGCTTAATTGATTGTTCCGATATACATAGTCAGCACAAAATGACATCCACATTCAATGTTAAACTTTTACTATTAGTTATTCTTTGATGTACATTTTGTTGTCTACTCGATGAATTATGCCTTTCAGCCAACACCCAAGGCAATTCCATTACCATCCCTGGGTATGTTTTATCTCATTAGAGGTTGTGGCACAGTTGGAAGTGAGTGGCATTGAGAGTCGCCAAAATTGATTCCAGACCCCACGACGTCTCATGTCATCATAAGTAAAGTAACCTCTTGCTGACTATCATCTATTACCTGCCCTTAGCTGATAAATCAATGTAACTCTATGTTGATTACTATTTGAAGAAGGACTGAGGGTAACAAGGTGACAGATGCTCTCTGAATGGAGAATTTCACTGTCCAACACCAAGTAACTTGGTAGCACTGCACTGACAGAGTTGGGTGACTCCTGAAGGATAAAGATGCAAGATTGAGATTGTGGCAGATAGTGAGAAAACCAACAGGAGGGAATAAACCTACCTGATTCCAGCCTGTACCAATCTACATTTTGGTGGCAAAGATATGAGAATGACTATTACACATTCCCTGTGGAAATGTTATTTAGTCCTCAGAAAGCACACGACTTCCACTGAGTTTCATAGTAATACACCATGCTAAACGCAATAGATTCAAAACAGATCCATCAGCTCAAAACGTGGGCAACTATTGGATGCTGCTGTCACTTAGACAGATCAGAATTAGATTCCACCGCAATAAGTAACTTCACGGTACAACACATCCCTCACTCTTTGCCATCATCATGAATCCATTCAAATGTCTTTTAAATGTTGGAAAGTGCTGCATCATCTCATTGACCACAGCTCCACCTTCAGCACTATAATCCCAATCAAACTAATCTCCAGATTTCAAGACATTGGTCTCTGCTCCACCCTCTGCAACACGATCCTCAACTTCTTGACCGCAATCAGTGAGAATAGGCAACAGCACCTTCTCCACAATAATCCTGAACACCAGCGCCCAGCAAGGATGCATTCTCAGCCCCTTATTGTAATCTCTGTACAGTCATGACTGCGTGGCCAAATTTCATCCAAACCTCATCTACAAGTTTGCTGGTGACACCACCATTGTAGGCTGGATATCAAATAATTCTAAGACAGAATATGGGAAACTATCTCGAGTGCTTGGTGGTATGGTGTAAAGAAACGAATCTGTCCCTCAGAGTCAGCAAATCTAAAGAGCTGATCATTGACTTCAGGAAACAAGGAGGAGGACACACCCCTATCTACATCAATGGAGCTGAGATGGAAATGGTCAACAGCATGAAGTTCCTAGGAGTGACAATCACCAACAATTTGTCCTGGATCACCCACATTGATGTGACGGTCAAGAAGGCACAACAACGCCTGTTCTTCCTCAGGAGGCTAAAGATGTTTGGCCTGTTCATAAGACTCTCACTAACTTTTATAGATACACTATACAAAACATTCTATTTGGATGCATCATGGCTTGGTAAAGCAACTACTCTGCTCAGAACTGTAAGAAACTACAGAGAGTTGTGAACGCAGCCCAGTCCTTCACTCAAGCCTACCTTCCACCCATTGACTCCACCTACACTTCTCGCTGCCTCGGGAAGGCAGGCAAAAATAATGAGATGTATAGATAGAGTTGATGGCAGTTGTCTTTTCCCTAAAATGGGGAATTTCAAGATTAGGGGGCACATTTTTAAGGTGAGAGGAGAGAAATTTAAAAAAGGATTAAGAAGCAAATTTTTTACACAGAGGTGGTTTGCGTGTGGAATGAACTTCCTGATGAAGTGATGGATGCAGGTACAATTGCAAAGTTTAAAAGATATTTGGATGATGTATGAACAGGAAAGTTTTGGAATGATATGGGCAAGGAGCAAGCAGTTTGGACTAGTTCAGTTTGGGATTATGTTCAGCATGAATTGGTTGGACTGAAGAGTCTGTTTCCGTGCTGTATCACTCTATTACTCTATAACATCACCAAAAACAGCTCTCAACGTGACTATAATCTCTTCCAACCTCGTTCATCAGGTGAAATATGCAAAAGCTTAAACAGGTGTACCAACAGGTTCAAGAACAGCTTCTTCCCTGCTGTTATTAGACTTCTGAATGGAACTCTCAAATTTCATGTCCAATATCGATCTTGCTTTATACATACCTTCTTTGTAGCCGTAACTTTGTATTCCTCACTGTATTTAATCACCCTATGAACATTATATGGTATGATCTGCCTGTACTGCATGCAAGACAAAACTTTTCACTGTACCTAGGTACATGTGACAAGAATAAATTGCATCAAATCAAAATAACTGAAGAACATGCGAAGGATAGCACCAGATTTAACTAAAAATGAAAGAGCAACCACATGATGACACAACACATGATATACAGTACACTAAGACCAAGTTAAACAATGACACAACCAGTGATGAAGAGTTGTGATGAAAAGTCACTAAACTTGAAACGGTAACTCTGCTTTCTCTCCACAGATGCTGCCAGACATGCAGAGTTTCTCCAGCGATTTCTATTTTTGTTACACAACCAATGCACTAAACCAAAACTCTTCAATCAACATCAACATCAACTTGTATTCACATAGGGCCTTTAAAGTAGCAAAGCAAAATTTGATACCAGATCACTTAAGGCAGTGTTCGGACAAGTGGTACAAAACTTTGTAAAACAGGTAGATTTTAAGAACTATCTTAAAGGAAGAAAGAGGGAGTTAGTGGACTAAAAGTCTTTAGGATAGAATTCCAGACCTTAGAACCTAGACAGCCAAAAACACAATCACCAACTGTGGAGAAAAAATTCGGGTTTGGTAAAAGACGGTTTGTCCAATTATTCAGTAAGTTCCTAGACACTCTTTCGCTCTCACAAAACATTTTTAGCTGAAGAGTGAGGAAATAAATCTAATGAATGGGACCTGTTTTGTGAGTTGCTGTGTACCAGACAGCTCTGACCTATTAACATTACTCTGTGGACTTCTTTTAGACTGGAAACCTAAAGCGCTACTACACAGATCTAGAAGCTTTAGCCATGGTGACAGCAGCATTTTGCCATGACATTGATCACAGAGGAACAAACAACCTCTATCAAATGAAGTGAGTAACTATTACTAAAAGCAGTTGGCATGTGTTATTGCCCTTATTTTGAATACTATGTTATTATAAAAGACAATCTTATTAATTACATTTCAAAAATCCAACAGATCACAGGATCCATTGGCAAAACTTCATGGCTCATCCATTATGGAACGCCATCACTTGGAATTTAGCAAAACTCTGCTCCAAGATGAGGTATGTCAGAATTGTGTTAAATCCCAACAAATTGTATAAATCGGAAGAAGGGTTGGAAATAATAGAAAAGGAGACAGCATGCTGGTAGTCATAACACACAGTGAACATTATATAAAATATTCTGTGTATATGAAGTGTTCTTTAAATTAAAAACATAGAAGAAAAACTATCAGTAGATCAAGATGTAAGATTGCATATAATTTTATACATAAGGATCATTGGAAAAAATTGTCAAAAACATGTATTGATGATGCTGTTAGATAGCAGGCATTTCTATAGTTACGTTTTTTTTAAATTTTCAATTTTAGCTAGTTGCATAAAAATAGAAGGAAATTCTAATTTTGTTTACTTATAATTACATCTTCAGCTATTTCACATTTGATGCATTCATAATACCACACTTTTTGGTATTAATGTCATGTCATTTTCACTACTTTTAGGCTAAATCAAATTTTCGAAGTTTTGGTGCAAAAAAGGCTACATGCGAGAAATTGTTGTTTCTTGGCAACAGTACAAGTCCTCCTATGTTCTTTTTCTAATTTCTATTGATGGTCGTGAATTTCTTTGCTATTATAGCACAGTTATTGTAGGTTCTTCTTCGGAGCACACACCACACAAACATGGACTACACTGTCACCAGATGAAAATCCTTTAACAGCTGGATAAGTGCACATGTACTAGATGAACTATTACAAATCAAGGGCAGTTCACCACCATGTTCTCAAGTTCAGTTTGAGTTGGACAAATAAATGCTGCTTAGCTAGCAATACTGATGACAGAATAAAGAAAGAAGTAAGAAAAGTTCAGGCCTTTTTGTCTGCTTCCCAGCAAACATATCAGTTTTTGCCTTTACTGCACCATATTATTGTCTAAGCAAAGATGTTAGCACCATATAAGTGTAGCCTTTCCTGCATGATTCAAATGTAAGAAAACACGATCAAAGCAATGCACTTTCACGCCAGGACTCACAGAAACTCTTTAACTTCTACCTTGCTGAAATCTTAATTTTGTTTTCTGTGTAGTTGAGTCTATCAAAACAGAATAATAGTCTTCATGATTTTCTTATACACTTGTCTATCCATTGGCTGATCCTGAAGATCAACATTTGAAACAGTGCTTCTTCTTTTGCCTCCTGTGAAATACTACCAATGTGCTAAGGTGTGGTTTTGATCTATACTCTTTAGGAATCATATCTCGGAGGCAGGTAGTTAATGATAACATATGCAAATTTGGTTGCATGAACACATAATTTAGGTGAACACATCAGCTGAATATTGAGATAACAAGGTGTAGAGCTGGATGAACACAGCGAAATATTGAGGGTGTGTTGTACTGTCAGAGATGTAATCTTTCAGATGAAGTACTAAAGTAGGACTCCCACGTGCTTTCTGAAATGGATGTTAAAATTTACATGACGAGAGAGTTGTTCCATTGTCCAAAACAAACATTTGCTTCTCAGCTGGAACTATCCCAACAGATTAGCGAGTCTTTCATCACATTGTTACTTGTGAAACCTAGTTTTGAATCAATCGATTGGCATATTTCCCTAGATTACAGTGATGACTACACGTCAAAAGCATTTCATTGGCTGTAATGATAAGTGTCTCGTGGATCATCCATCTGATATCCCTATATTGTGCTGCCAGTTGTGATGAAATTCCACATTTCCAACTTAGCTGAGCTGGTACATTAATCTTATAGTGGCCGTTCTGTTACCAGAAGATTCTGAATGAGAATGGTGGAATGATTGACATTGAAAAGCAATAATATCAGGGATAATTTTAATACCACTCAATGGAGAACAAATGGGTGCAATTTGCTATCCATTTACACCCCACTCAATTTTATTCGAGTGCAAACTATTAAACTAATGAAATCCCACATGTTTAAACTAAATTAAGAGTTAAATTAAAATTGACCCCACCATTATTGGTTAAGAAACAGTTATCAGTTAGTGGAGCTCCGACACAATTTTAAGGCATTTCCCTCATTACACTATGCCTAATCTGGGAATTTTTAATGTTGCCACTATAATTAGGAAACTTTGATAAACAGTGTATCGCCTGACATTAAATTATCTACCTGGAATTGCATCCAATCACTGTCACATTGGTTGGGGAAGTAGTAAGCAGACAGTAAGTATCTCCTGTTGTACAATAAGAAAGGTTTGGCAAGTCACCACGGTTCAAAAAAGAAGATTGAAAACTGGATTTGGCTAATGGTATGCATATTATAATATAAGGGTAAGGAAACACAAGTGTAGGGCATTGTTGAATTAAGTACATGAGCACTTGTTGGGAGGCTCTTGTGGTGCAGTAGTAATGTCCTTACGTCTGAGCAGAAGGACCTGGTTCAAGTCCTGCCTGCACTGGTGGTATATTGTAACATCTCTGAATGGTTGATAAAGGAAAATGTCTTGAGCACCTGTTTAGGGCTCTTGTGACACGATGGTAATGTCCCTACCTCCAAGCCAGAAGGTCCGGGTTCAAGTCCCAGGGGTATGTAAAACGTTCTCCAAACAGGTTGACTCAAAAAAACTTACAGCACTCATCAATTGAGACGGCCAGGACAATGTATCATCCTGTGTTCTCTCAATAAACCCATTATCAAGAAAATAGATTGGTGCCTAATTTCATACTTGACCATCTAGCTCAGAATCCAGTTAGCAGCTTTTATAGAGCCACAGAAACAAGACATTTCCCCATTCACTTGCCATTGGTAATAATTGGCCAGAAATAATGATTTAGAAATAATCAGAAAAGAATTGAAGATAAATGAGAATGAATGTTGAAAAGAGTTTATAACATGCTCCAAAATATCTTCCTTTCTATGTGGTTCTGACAGTAATGTAGTATGTGGTACTGATTGGGTCCCATTTTTTTACTCAGTTTGTGTTATTTGATTTTTAACAGGATTTAAATATCTTCCAAAATCTCAATAGAAGACAGTATGAACACGTGCTCCATCTGATGGACATTGCCATCATTGCTACAGATCTAGCACTTTATTTCAAGTATGTTTTTCAATATCTTAAAAATGATTCACAGATTTGGATTTTATCTAATTTTTCATGAGACGTAAAATTCAATTGATGTGCACTATTATTTCTATCACATGATAGAAAAAGAACAATGTTTCAAAAGATAGTAGACTTGTCAGAAACATATGAAAATGATGAAGAATGGGTCCAATTTATGATACTGGAAACAACAAGGAAAGAAATAATCATGTAAGTAAAATTCTGTTTTTTTTTAAATGGAGTCTTCTTGAAATTCCAAATTTGCAATTAGACATTACAACGTGCTGAAGAAATATGGCTTGAATTAAACATATAAAATTCAGAACGTTTGTGGCTTTAGAATGTTGAATTTGACATTTTTTACTGAATTGACTAAGGCACCAGAAATGTCAGCAAATCACCCATCTCAGTTGACCCTGCAATGTTCTCCTTACTAACATGTGAGGGGTTGTTCCAAAATTGACAGAGTTGTCCCACAGACTAGTTAAGTAACAGCTGACAGTCATTCTGATGGAATGATGACTATGTCCCAGGCACCACCATTGACATTACTGGACATGTCCTGTCACACCATTAGGACAGACCCATCAGAGATGGTCGAACAGAAGTATAGAATTGGGAAGGAATTACCTTGGAAATCTTCAACTTTTAACTCTGGATCCCATGAAGTCTCATGGCATCAGGTCAAACACGGCAAGGAAACCTTCTGTTGATTATCACCTACCACCTCTCCTGAACTCTTGAATTATTACAACAGCTTGTAGAATAACACTTGGAGGAAGCACTGAGGTTGATAATGGCACAGAATGTACACTGGATGGAGGACTTCAACCTCTGTTATGCTTATCCAGTAGCACCACTACTGACCGAGCTGGTTGAGTCTTAGAGGACACGGTTGCTATTCTGAGGCAAGTAGTGAGACAGCCAACATGAAGGGAAAATGTACCTGACCTTTTCCTCTCCAATCTATTTGTTGCAGATGCATCTGCCCATAAATGTATTGGTAGGAGTGATCCACTGCACAGCGTGTGGAGATTAGCCTTCTATTTGAGGATATTGTTTGTTATGTTGTATAACACTACCTCCATAACGAATGAGATAGATTTCAAATAGATCTAGCAACTCAAAACTCAGAATCCATGAGGCACTATGGGCTATCAGCTGCAGAATTGTATTCAACAACGATCTATAACTTTGTAGCCTGGCATATCCTCCATTCTGTAACTATCATCAAGCCAGCGGATCAACTATGGTTCAATGAAAAGTGCGGGAAGGCATGTCTAGAATAGAAGCAAGCACACCTAAGAAGTGAAGTGTCAACTTGGTGATGCTACAATGCAGGGCTATTTGCATCCAAGCAGCATAAGCAGAACGTGATAGACGAAGATAAGCAATTCCCCAACCAATGGATCAGATCTAAGCTCTCTAGTGCTGCCATATCCAATTATGAAAAGTGGTAAATAATTAAGCAACCCAGTGGAGGAGAAGGCTCCATAAGTATTCTCATCCTCAGTGTTGGGTGAGCCCAGATCATCAGTGAAAATGATAAGGCTGAAACATTTGCATCCAACTTCAGCTAGAAACACTGAGGGATAATCCATCCTAACCTAAGATCCCCAGCATCATAGTGGTCAGCCTTCAGCCAACTTTATTCACTCTACGTGATATCGAAAATGGCTAAAGGAATTGGATACTGCAAAGGCTACCAAGTGACACTTACATAACAACAATCTGTTCAATGATGCTTTTGTGTTTCTGCAGGGCAATTTATCTCCAAAACTCATTGCAGCCTTGGTCTAAGCATTGTCAAAAGAGCAGAACTTTAGAGGAGAAGTGAGGATGACTGCCTTTGACTAAGGCAGTGATTAACTGAGTTTGATATCAAGGAGCCCTAGCAAATCTAAAATCACTGGCAGTCAAGGTGAAACTAAGTTGAAATCATACAGCAACGTGTACCATTGACAAGGTACACTGCAATAAGTCATCAAGGCTCCTTCCAAACCTGCAATCTCTGTCATCTCGAAGCACCGGGGCAGCTGTTGCATTGGAATACCATCACCTACAAGTTGCTGTCCAAGCTACACACTATCCTGACTAGGAATTAAATTGCTATTCCTTCCCTGTCACTCGGTCAAAATCCTAGAACTCCTTTCCCACCAGTACTGTGGGGGTATCTGAACCCACGTGAAATGTAGTGGTTCCAGACAGTAGTTCACTTGCTGAAGAGCAATTAGAAATGTCCAAGAAATACTGACCCAGGCTGTGATGCCCATTTCCCACAAAAAGTTTCCAATAAAAATGCTTTCTGCACTTCTGGTACCATGGTTAATTGCCTTTGTGGTACTGATTTATTATTGTGGTTATTATCTTTGTATAATCTTGAGCATAATTAATTTAGGGCCATGATGATGACAGCATGTGATTTATCTGCAATCACAAAACCTTGGGAAGTGCAAAGCAAGGTAAAACATCTAATTTTGTGTTTTATTCCTACCTTAGTGTTTTTTCTTTGAATAATTTGCTGAGGAGTATAATGCTTTATGAATTCGAATAACTTATTGCACATATTTATATTGATCTGTCTTGCACAGTAACAAATAAAATAAAAGTGATTGGAGTTCACAGTGCTTCAGGGTCATAGGTTAGAGCTCCATCACACTGTAATGTAGCATGTTGCAACAATTCAGAGTGGCCAAGAAAGTACAGGTAGAGAATAAGGAAAAGATGAATCATCCTTTGTTAAGAAAAATGATACAGAGGATTGGTAGTATATATCGCTGCAAGAAGGAAAATTGGGACTAACCAGTTAACTGCAGACCATTTAGCCTTGGTTAACTATGCAGATTAAAAAAAAAGCATAAAGTTAATACTCACTTAGGAAATCACAGTTTATTAAGAACAGCCAGTGTCGATCTATGAAAGGTAAATATTATCTTATAAAATTTAATAGAGTTTCTAAAAATGCTGTTTTCACCTCATTTAAAAAGCATGACATGCAAATTCCCTTCCTTAGAAAGTTTCCTAATTTGAAAAGCTCCAGGTGGCAGCACCTAGATTCTGGATTTCCATCAAACCATTCTCCTAATCCTAAATCCTCGAAGGGGAGTCTACCCAACAAGATCCACTGTGCCAGTCGTGCTTTAATTAATGATTATGAAATTGTTGGAGACATATTTGCCATACTTCCACCGTAATTACCAGCCAGCATGACTGGATACCTCCTTGGAATATAAACAGAAAAAGTCGACAAAAATCGGTCGGTTAGACAACATCTGTGTAGAGAGAGAAAGTTAATATTTAAGGTCTAGAGATAGTAAGAACTATCGATGCTGGAGTCAGAGATGACACAGTATGGAGTTGGAGGAACACAGCAGGCCAGGCAGCATCAGAGGAGCAGGCAAGCTGACGTTTCGGGTCTGGACCCTTCTTCAGAAATGGGAGAGGGGGGTGGACCTCTGAAATAAATAGAGAAAGGAGGGGTGGGTCTGGGGAAGGTAGGTGGGAGGAGCGGAAAGGTGGGAGAGAAAACGGACAGGTCAAGGAGGCGGAGATGAGAGGGAGGGTTGGTCATGGGATGAGGCCAGGGTTTGGGAGATTTTGAAACTAGTAAAGTCCACATTGAGACCTTTGGGTTGTAGGCTGCCAAGGCGGAATATGAGGTGCTGCTCCTCCAGTTTCCGAGTGACGTCATTGTGACACTGGAGGAGGCCCAGGATGGACATGTTGTCCAGGGAGTGGGAGGGGGAGTTGAAGTGGCTCGCAACTGGAAGGTGTTGTCGTTTGTTGCGAACAGAGCGCAGGTGCTCTACAAAGCGGTGTCCGAGCCTCTGCTTGGTCTCCCCGATGTAGAGGAGGCCACATCAGGAACAGTGGATACAATAGACCACATTAGCGGATGGGCAGGTGAACATCTGTCTGATGTGGAAAGTTTGTTTGGGTCCTTGGATGGAGGTGAGGGGGGGGAGGTGGAGGGGCAGGTGTAGCACTTCCTGCGGTTGCAGGGAAAGGTGCCGGGGGTGTTGGGGCTAGTAGGGAGTGCGGAGCGGATGAGGGAGTCGTGGAGAGAAGGTCCCTACGGAAGGCAGATAGGGGTGGGGAGGGAAATATATCTTGGTTGTGGGGTTGGATTGCAGGTCGCGGAAGTGGCGGAAAATGATACATTGAATACGAAGATTAGTGGGGTGATATGTGAGGACAAGGGGGATTCTGTCTTTGTTTTTGTTGTGGGGAGGGGATGTGAGCGCAGAGGTGCGGGAAACGCAAGAGATGAAGTCAAGGGCATTTTCGATCACTGAAGGGGGGAAGTTGCGGCCCTTGAAATAAGAGGACAGCTGGGATGTTCGGGAGTGGAATATTTAAGGTCTGTGACTTTTCTTCAGAAGTGGGAATTACTTGGATTGATTTTTATTCATTTATTGAATGAGAGCATTACTGGCTAGACCAGCATTTATTGCTCATCCCTACATACCCAAAGGACATTAAGAGCAAACCACATTGCTGGGGTCTGGTGAATTTCCTTTAGTAAAAGATATTGGTGAACCAGATGTTTGTGACAAATAATTGTAATAGCGTCGAGATTTTTTAAATTGAATTCAAATTTCACCAGCAGCCAGTAGTGGGATTTGAATCTATGTCCCCTGAACTTTTGCCTGGTGATCTGGATTGATGGCCCAGTAATATTACCACCATTCAACCACCTTCCCTGAATAAAGTTAGTTTTTGCCTCCAGCAGCTCCATAATTGCAATAATAGCCAACTACTAAGTAAAGAACTGTACCGCCTTTCTTACACATTCTCAATCTGCATTTCAGTTCGTAGAAGCCCTATGTTCCTACATTAAAATTGATAGCAGCCAATTTTGTGTTGTACATTGTGTTCCAGATCTATCATTTTTTTTATTGTATTCAAGGTAGCTCTTTCTGTAGCAGCCGAATTCTGGGAACAGGGTGACTTGGAACGAACTGTATTGGATCAGCAACCTATTGTAAGTACTGGTACAATGGCTTGAAACAAATAATGGGATGATATATTGAACCTAATAATGGCAGTACTTTATTGTTACAAGGTATTTAACAAATTGTAATTCAACAAATAATTAGAAAAGTTAATTTGAGAAAAGACAAATGTCAGAATTTACAACATCTGAACTGCAGTATTTATGGTTATACAAATTAATATTTAGTATCTTCATGACTCTTTCAGCCCATGATGGACCGAAACAAGGCTGCTGAACTTCCAAAGCTTCAAGTTGGTTTCATTGACTTTGTGTGCACTTTTGTATACAAGGTAAGAACATAGATAGTAAAATATTTAAAGATTTCTTTATTATTTTACTCTTGAAATATTATTTTAACCCTGTGAATTTAACTTATTAACAAATGTTAAAATGTCCTCAGAATAAAGAATGTTTAATGACCTATTTTCCTAATCCACCAGGTCTAAGATAAAGATCAAAATTAATCTCCACAATTAGGCAAAATATGTTTAAAGTGAATGCTTGGCTAAAATATAATTTGTGTATTCAGAAGATGGTGATTCTGTGAAGTAATTTATCCAGGATTGCTGGTGGAAATGAAGATTGCTATAAATATCCAGAAAACGATAAAGACACTGTGTTTTGGAAAGGCAATGAGTAATTAGGTTTGAAAAGAAAATTCAATATTTGGGACCTGTGTATTGCAATGGAAATGACCTTTTCCAATCTTGTAGAGTCTATATACATTTCCATAGACTTGGGGTTAAAGGGAGAAAGGTGATGTTATGGCCACCTGCATCAGAATTATGTGCTGTAGGAATTTTATAATCATTTTACTCAAGCTAACCACAGGAATTTTATTTTCTACGGATTGCCCTTGCCAGAAGTTAGCATTACAATGTATTTGGACTTGGTCATGTGCTGCACCACCTTTTAGCAGACAGAATAATACGGTTTGGTAGAATGGTCTTCTCTGACTCATTTTATATACATACATGCCTCTTTTGACCAATTTGTGTTATTTGGTGTAATTTTATTACAAATAGAAATGCTTGTCTAGATTTGCATTTATAAGTATACATCCCAAATGCCACCTAGCTACATTCCAATACCATAAAGAGCTGAGCACAACTAGCTTAAGTATTGAAATTCTATTTCAATTGAATGCTTGGAATCAATTTTTCAGGATCAGGAAAGGTGCACATTCAATGAAGTTTAAGGAAAAACAAAGACTGAATGTGTCACCTTAAAAAAGTCAAAAAAGCCAGCACACATGAATAATTCCAGACAAAACCCTATGTGAATCAGTATGCCGTGACTGTATGTATGATTCTGTTAACTGGATGGATGATTCACAAAATGTATAGCTTCCACCCAAACTTTATTGTCCATTAAGAAATGCATTGTGGGTAAAAAAAAGTGTCACCATAATTTGGAGCCATTTAAGGCCTTACATACTAAAATATAACAGTTAATTTGAAAAAATATTGCTCATGGGTCTTGAGATTGAAATTGATCAAGTGGAAAATCACAGATGCCAATAATCTAAGTGGCCGAGGCACTTCTAATTTCTCTGGGCAATCACCTGGCTTGGGCCATCCACTTCAGTTACACCAAGGATCCTGCATCAGTCCCCGATCACTCATTATTTGACTTACCTTGATTCTATTTTTCTAGCATTATTTTTCCATATGCTCTGTCTGCTCTGAAACCATACACTCACCTGCAGTTTGCTTTAATACAGAGCAGTAGTGTATGTGAAATGGCCTCAGTTGGAGCTACCCAGTGAATCTATGGCCAATGGTTGAGCTTTTATAATTGGGAATGCTCAGGAGGTGAGAGCTCAAAGAGTGCAGATATCTCAGAGGATTGAGGAGCTGTAGGATAATGGAGTTAGGGAGGGATGAGGTCATAGAGGGAGTTGAAAGAAAGGATGAGAATTTAAAAGCAAGATTTGCTTGACTAGCGATCAATTTACGTCAATAAGCACAGGGTGATCGGTGAATGATTCATAGTGTGAGTTTAGACCTAGCCAGCAGAATTATTGATGATCTCAAACCCTCATGTGGAGAAAATTGTTTTGCTGCTTTGGCAGATGCTTGTGGTATTTGAGATTGAACTTGTCACAATATTGTCTAACATTGAGTGCTACTTTATGTGTTAAATGAATTAATTGCTGCATGTTACATTTGTATTCTATGGTGTTTACAGTGGCCTCTTCAGGGGTTTCTGTGAGGATTATAGTAATCTCTTTTTCAAGCTGTGCCAAGTGGCTTGTCAGATTTCAGAAATACCTTTTGAAACGTACTTTTGATCAATAATTCTGGTTACCTGTGAAGTTAATCATCATTTGCATCAACAAACATCAAAAGCCACACAGGCATATAGACCAGCCATAACCTGCGTATTTAGCTCTCTTACTGTTTATTATCTATAGTTTGTCTTCATCAGTTAGAAGCTAATTGTAATAATGTATGACGCAAGATTACAAGGATTTCCTTAACTTGATTTTTGTAATTTTGAATTGAATTTGTATTGTCAATGGAAAAAGCTAATATTACAATTGGACTCAGGAACACATTGAATTTTGTTGATTTTTCCCATAAATGAATAGGAAGCAGCCAGGCCATATAAAACAGGCTCAATTCTTTCACGGGACAGAGAAAGGACAAAGCGATTGGAAAAAGTCATCACATAGTCTCTCAGCACTTTCAACCAATCTCAGTACAATTAGAACTGCATTATTTTGAATGAGCTTCTCAACAGTACAGCAAGCTTATTGTTTGCTAATCAAAAGTCACATTTTCTGCCTCCTGAGTAATGTGTTTTTTGGAAATTTGTTCCTGTTGGCATAATTTCAGCAGGATGTGTGTGCTTTCTTCCTTGGTGGAATCATAGATCATAGAATCCCTACAGTGTGGAAACAGGCCCTTCAGCCCAACAATTCCACACTGAACCTCAGAGCTTCCCACACAGACCCATCCCCTATGACCCACCTAATCTACACATCCCTGAACACTACAGGCAATTTAGCAGGTCAATCCACCCAACATGCACATCTTTGGACTGTGGAAGGAAACCGTAGCACCCAGAGGAAACCCACGCAGACACAGGGAGAACGTGCAAACATCACACAGGCAATTGCCCAAGAGTAGAAATGAACCCGGGTCCCTGGTGCTGTGAGGCAGCAGTGCTAACCGCTGAGTCACCATGCTGCACATAATTTTACAATAACATTGACTAGGTCCATAATAATAGCCTATCTTACCACCTGGAGTAATGCTAATAGAAATGTTCTCATTTTAGAAACCTCACAATCCTGAGGTATCGAAAAATTTTGGGCTATAATAAAAGAAGATACATTTTTCTTGAGGTAATTTAGTTCATTATATTTATCTTGAATGGAATTTAAGCAAAATGAGCATTACATAGTATTAAAGTATAGAAACAAACCTTTCAGCCAGGTCCACACTAGTTTGTTTCTATTTCATACACAAGCCACCTCCACTTAACCTCTTCAACATGTCCTTCTATTCGTTTCTCCCTCATGTGTTTGTCTAGTTTCCTGTCAATTAATATATGCTATATACTTCTCAATTAATTCATGTAATAGGGAATAAAAATGTTTCTCCTGAATTGTCTATTGAATTATTAGCTGCCAAGAGTTGGAGGGGATTGGGTAGAATCCTTACAGATTGGAAGTAAGCCATTAGGCCCATCAAGTCTGCAGCAACCCTCTGAAGAGCATTCCATCTGGACCCACTACCCTACCCTATCCCTGTAACCCTGCATTCCCATGACTATCTGCCAAGCCTGCAAATCACTGGACACTGTCGATCATTTAGCACAGCCATTCCACCTAACCTGCACATCTTTGGACTGTGGAAGGAAACCAGATCACCTGGAGGAAACCTATCCAGACATGGAGAGAATGTGTAAACTCCACACGGATGGTTAACCGAGGCTAGAATTGAACCCAGGTCCCTGGTGTTGTGAAGCAGCATTGCTAACTACTGAGCCACCATGCCTCACCATAAGGTAAAGGCATCGTTGACCAAGGCTCCCTACCGAGTGCGCCAAGTTAGGACAGTTTGCCAGTGGCTGATAATGTGCTTGTCATGGGAGGCCTGGACACCTTTAAATGTTTTTCCTTGGATTTCTGTGTTCTCTTCTACTGGGAAGGATTTATTAGCATGAGAAATGTGGGGAGAGGAGAGAAGGACACATTTGTGGAGCATAACAGTGAGGCGTACGAGATGATAAAAAGATGAAGCTGACTGTGAGCATTCATTGCTCAGATGGGGAGTTGAGAGGTGTCTAGAAAGGGGAATGAGTGGGAACTTCAAGGTTATGATGTTCTGAGCAGTGTTATGCAAGATAATGCTGGGAAAGGAAAGGTCAGTCTACAGGTCGATGCATATAGTATTTTGCTGTTTACCTGTAAGGTCCTCCTGAAATCCTTGAACCTTTTTGATGCTATATCCAGGTTCATGAGACTACACTGTCCCTGCTCACTACCTCAACTGCAACCATCTATTGACGCTTGCTTTGAGAGGTCGATCTTTTCATCCCAATCTTGGGAAAGATCACCTCACTTCAGTTGCTCAGATCCTGTAAAGGGACCTTCGGGTAAGTGTCCAAGAATCAGATGAGGACAGTCTTCTTTGGTGTCCTTTCCAATTCTGAGGTTGATGAAAGCTAAGGAATCAGAATACAATTCAGCCATCCTGACTCCCCCCTACTGTAATCCCTTTAGCTAGAAACTTTTCCTTTGCCAGATTTAGCTATTTATCCTACATGGCTTGTCTAATTGATTGGGAAACCTGAAAATGGGATATTCATGCTTTGGCTGAATTAGGATTGTAGGAGGTCTTTTAGCTGACTGATATTTCATCTAGGAGTGCAGCCAAAGTCAAATCCATGGCACCACAGTTGACTCAGAAACACAGGATGGATACACATAGCACTATTGGACCTGGTTCTTGGGAATGTGGGAGCTCAAAAGGATCAAGTGTCAAGTTTTAGGGAGACAGTAGGAGCTGCCAATGCTGGAGAATCTGAGATAACAAGTTATAGAGCTGAATGAACACAGCAGGCCAAGCAGCATCAGAGAAGCAGGAAAGCTGACGTTTCGGGTCTAGACCCTTCTTCAGAAATGGGGGCGGGGAAGGGGATTCTGAAATAAATAGGGAGAGAGAGGAAGATGGATAGAAGATGGATAAAGGAGAAGATAGGTGGAGAGGAGACAGACGTTCAATGAGGCGGGTTGGAGCCAGTAAAGGTGAGTGTAGGTGGGGAGTTAGGGAGGGGA